TAAAAGCTTTTTTTTTTTTTTTTGGCATCATATTTGTTATCGGTTGATTTTAAAATATCAGAGGCGGAACTATGTATTGCTTTCATGTCAAACGGTTTTTATTATTGCACTTTATACAAAGTGGAACTGGGAGTGGACAGTCTCCCAGCCCAAAGGCCTGTGGTTTGACATGCTAAAAGAGAGGTGAAGGAAGGTTTTTTTCCCTAATTTATACTTTAAGTGCTCTGTTACTAACAAGTAAAATAGCAAATTCAAATACCTTCACGTCACTGCATCCAGTTTTCAGAAAGGCTGATAGGTTTTGGTATCTCCATCATTCAAGCAAGAATTGAAACCTCTGCATAAGAATTAAACACATGATGAAAGTCCTGCTGTGAAGAGTATCTTTAGAGAGATCCACATACCGGTATAATTACACTTCCAAAAACCCGAATAAAAACGTTTATTAAAGTCAGGCGCGCACACATATTTTACCGTAACACTGATTAGAAATTATTTTTAGTGTCTTTTCCTATAGGAGCAAGTTGAAAATCACTGTTGATTAAATTTGATTAAAAATTAATTAAAGTGTTTGCACTCGAGTGAAGTGAAAAACTCAGTCTCTTTCACAGTTGTTTGGAAACTCAGCAACAAAACATGAGTCTTGCGACAAGGACAAAAAGAAACAAATTTTATTTATTTCTGTTGCACGTAGCACAAGGAGGTCATTTTCAAGGTGATATGGCGGGCAAACTTTAATGTGGAAGTGAGGCAGGTTGAATATTGTTCGATGGTTGTTCCCATGAAATTGCAACTGTCTCCCAATCATGTAGACACTGTTAAAATTCAGGGAGCAGATGAAGAAACAATTAATTCGAAAAATTCGCCCATTTATCAGTTTTACATACGAGTCATCTCTTCTCTGAACTTTTTCTGTTTTTGCTCTGTAGATATGTCTCTTGAATATGATTTTACGTAGGCTAAACATCTGATTCCACACAACATCAGGAAGAGCTTGGAGGATTGCATGTCTTTCTTCTGCTGTTGCAACAAACTTTTTACGAAATTTATTGCCAACTATTATGATGCTGTTATCAACATTATCAACAAGTTTGAATCTTCTTATTGATAAAATTGACTCACAGTAGTCCTTCACTACATCATCTAGAGGTGGATGTTTCGCAATTACATGAGGCACACTTGTATAGTTGCAGTAACGCCTTACGATTTGTTTCGCTACACCTTGGGCACCTTTCACTAGTTGGATTATGTAACCGTTGCCAGTCTCAAAACAGAAAAGTGAGTATGCCCATAATGGTCCATTGCTGGTTACACATTGTGTTACATGAACTGTAGAATGTACATTGATTGTCATATGGCGGATTCCATAAAATTCATAAAATTTACTGACAAAGCTATGAAGTAGGTCTCGGTAGTATAAAATTTTCCGTCTGTCAATTACATTCTGCGAGCAAAAATAAACGGCAGCACATAGTTGACAGAAGTGCCTGAAGTATCTTAGCGGTAGGATTTCTTGGAGACAAACTGGCCCATAGTAAAACAGCCAACTTCTCCACTCATTCCCTTTCCAAAGCGCACAGGAAGACAAAGGGCGAAGGTCTCGAGAAATGTTCGATGGTGGATGCATACTTCTTATTCTCTTGTCAATTGCAGAAACTTTTTGCCGCCCTAGGTAAAATTCTTCTTCAGAGTACTCAGGATTCATCCAGATGTTCTGGCAAAGGTAACTAGTCACTCCGAGAAGATGGGAATGCAGATAGTCTATCACAACTCCCCAGGGTAGAACAAAATATGGAATGTAGCAGAGGGGCGACATGCCTTTCATACCGTTTGTAACTTCCCCAGTTTCCAAAGCTTCGTGCATGTCTTCTCGAATGGAGTTATCCGTCCTTTCGGTGTAATTGTCTCGGGGGCAATAACGAACTTGAGTCTCTCCATAAGGATCGCCTTCATGATTGCAATAACAGCACGCATGATAACCATTGAACTGTATCATGTTCATGAGTTTGGCTCTGGCAGGAAGATCCACAGAAAAATTTAAACCGTAAACTTTGGTATTCTCCTCTCTGCCAACATTTGGTCTGAACCAGGTTATTCCTTCATTTGCAAGTTCTTCCAGTTCTTCAATGATGCCCTGTAGGTAGGTTGTCAGGGAAGGCTGAATTTTACCAAACCAGACAGCACCTACGATAACATTGTACGATGCAAATCTTTCCTTTGGATCAATTTCATTGAGGATAAATTGGAAAGGCCAGACAGATGAGGTAGAATTTTTAAAAACAGGAGCTCCATCTGTATTGAGATTTAGTGTGAGAAACGAATCTGATTGGTCGCGTACCTTTTGCTCTAAATTTTTGAATAGTATTCCATCAAACACATCTCTAATTTCTTCATCATTACTAACACGGTTCTGACGATAAGACAAGAGGTCCTCACCACCAACACCTTGTAGCTTTTCTAAAATTTGGTCTTTAATAGAAATACATGAGTAGAAATGACCTCTATTTAGTGATTTAGGTTCTACTGGAGCTCTACAATGTTCTGCAGGGCACTGTTCGATGTCGTTGCAGTCTTCAAGTTTACCCAAGTACAAGAGGCATTCGGAGCAATAAAGGTGTGTTGTCACTTTTTTTCCTGAAGCAAAAATCTTATTGAAAATATAGGTGCTGGGTGCTAGGACAACGGAACCAAGGACGGTATTCAACAAGGAAATTAAAGCTCTGACTCCAACATCTGTTAAGCTAAAGCGTATAATGAAATGAATCACCATAACAAGAATTTCAAACCTTGTCAGATGCACGTTTGGTTCCAGTATATCATCCAAGTCATAGTCATCATCAGGAGGAATCGGATCATTTCCTTGCGGCTCAGGATTATTATCATCCGTTGAATCACCGTCTTCTTCCTGATCATGAGCCTCTTCTTCGTCAATATTAGGTCCATCACTGAAGAAATTTTCGTCATCTGCACCTTGGGATGAGTTGATGGTGCTGTCAGATTCATCTGATGAACTGTCATCAGGTGGATCTAAAGGATTATCGGCTGAGAGAGAGTCGTCACAGCTACCAGATTCATCAGGAGAATCATTGGAATCGCCACCAGGTGGCTCTGGAGGATTAGAGGATGAACTGAGGGATTCACTGGACAACTGATTAGATGAGATACGAGATGAGTCAGGACTTACTTCAATGCACTCCCACGATCCAGAATTGCTGGAAATTGAAATGTTTTTTTGCCGCCAGGATGTTGTTCTAGGCACTGTTCCAGCTTCGGTGGTTTTGTCTAAATACACTTTATAAAACCTGGGTCTTTTAGCGGGTTGTGACATGATCACAACATACGCAGCTGGAGACTTTTATAATTATCTCTGAGCTCATTAATAGCACTTTGAAGCACGCAACGAAGAAACCATCATGATTGAGAAAGGTTAGAAAGGAAATCACCTCATGTAAGTAAGTACTGCGGCTCGAATGGCACACGAATATTAGAATCATTAACGAAAACCCGCGGTAAGATTCGTGTTTGCTGAAACCGGAATATCGAATAACAGTGTGTTTTCTTCGGATAATGCCCGTGAACACGACCCGTTTAAAATACTTTCAGATTTATTAAGCACTGATCAATTACCGGTACCGGAGTAAACAACTTGGGCTGTCAATCAGCTAAACTAGCTCAGGGTCAGGGTAGCCATGATGGTGCACTGTTACCGATGTGATCTTTTTTCCCTTTGTTTATTTATTTTGCTTTCCCCCTACCTCACGTGAGACACACTTCTATCACGAAATTATACGGTCGGATTATTTCACTTTTCAAGAAAACCTGTGAAAGTAACGTTAACGTACATGAATTGGTCGAGGAACTTTCAGCAAATCAGCATTATTTGTTGTTGTGGCAACGTTTTACTCCAAATATTCGTTGCGACGTCACTATACTTCTTTTGCAAATTGCAAATACTGAAATAAACTCTTTGTCCCTCTTGAACTTTATACTATCATACATTTGCACCTTTTTATTTACACTGAGCTATTTAAATCAATCTAGTATGATCTTTAAAGAAGACAACGTGCCATTAAACAGAAGAACTACTTCTTGCGCGGAGGTGTTTTAGAACTCCTCGTACGTCTCGTACTTTGTTGGAGTGCCCGCGCATTAATTCAAAACCTGGAAAACCAACCTCGGCGCATGGCAACGGTTGAGTAACAGGTTGATTCTTGTTAGTCTCAGAACGCTGATTTCGCCTCCTCACGCGTTGAAGATTGGTTTGAGTTTGAGTGAAAATCTTGTGATTTTTTTAAGTATGTGAAGTGTGGAAATCTCCATGTTTAAGACTCAGGGTGCATATTAAGTTTGTTTTTTGTAATGGCCCCGAAAAAAGAACCTGCTATTGCTAGTGTCAAGTTCCTGCTGGATGGCAAGTGCACATTTGTGCCTCTCTCTTACATTAAGAACTTTAAATCCGACAGTTTTAAGCCGAACACAAATTACAAAGTTTTCTGGAGTCCAAATGAGGATGAGAAACCAGAAGATGTTCAGAGAAACCAGGGAATCATATTGGACTTGGATGATGAAATCGAAGCTCGACACCCAAGGCGAGAAACACCCATTCTGGCTGGCTATTATAATGCCACTGTGCTAAAGATTGCAGGTAAGAGTGTGTGTAATTTTTCAAATCATTTCTTTCTCAGGCAGTTAGTAAGGAAAGAGGGAGCTGTTACCAATTTAAGGTGCAGATATTCTGGTATTCGACGGTTGCCATTTTTTGTGTCAGAGTGAAATGCAATATATGGCATCAATTCGTTCCATAATTTCAGCTACTTGTCATTTTTTTTTAAATTTTAACTTCGCACTTCTGTCGTCATGAGACCGAAGAATTCACGTACCAAATTTGATAGAGGAATGCAACGTATTAAAGGCAGGGTTTTTTCAGAGGGTTTAAAGTATCGCATTCGAGTGCAGTTTCAATATCAGTATCGAATGCGATAATTTTCCTCTAGAAAAACCACGCCTTTATTACGTTGAATTTCTTGGTCATATTTGGTACATGAATTCTTCACTCTCATGACAACAGAAGTGCCATCTCAAAATTCGAAAAAAATTATACGAATTGTGTGATGAAACAAATTGTTGTGATATATGGCATGTTGCTCTGACACAAAAAATGGCAACTGTCGAATCACCTTAAAGGAAAGGCATGGTAAGAGAAGACAAAGTTTCTGTCCCTTCAAAACTTCTTAATCACAGAATAAAGGTTTATTTTTCCCAGCTGTTTTCATCAGTTATTTTATTGTATACTTTTAAAGGACGCAATTATCATCAAATTATTAGTGAATAATACCCTCTCTGCCTGAAGGACATGCTCTGTAAGGGAGGAAATAATTAAAACTTTACAGAGTCGACATCATGCCTACGTATGGACTGTGATAGTTGCTTTTCTGATGTCAGTTTAGCATTGAAAGTAATTGCAAGAATCAAGATGGCAGATCTTCTGTTGCAGTCTAAAAGTGGGTAAACTTATTTGCCGTGGACTTTACCTTATGTATACCTACTATGCTTTCTTGGCAGACAGTAGTATTGGGTACAGGTAGCCTTGAGAAAGTTTGGTTTTTTTCTACAAAATTTATGTCAGACAAGTGACAGTTCATTTAATGTTCAAATTTTGAGGCAAAAGGTAAACTCAGATTTATACTGTTGAGTCAGCATCTCATAGCAGGTGAAAACATGCATTATTTGAATGACACCATCCCGAGAGCTGTACGAATAAGATTTGGGTGTTGTCTCAACAAAGCTCAAGCGAGCTCCAGTTCTGTCTCTCAATACATCTCGTAGACCACTGCTTTGGCATATTGTAAGAACAGAGAGGACATCATACAAACAGTGCCTTCTCACAGTTCGAGTTAAGTAAATTATACCTTAAGCCTCCAAAAAATGATGATCAAATTAATGATGTATCGCACATTTACCCTCACTGATGGTTTTTCAGCAAAGGAGCGTGTTTCTTGCCCTGCAATGCTCCATATTAACAATCTTATTTTACTAAACATTTCGTTTATTTATGTTCATTTTTTTGTGGAAATAATGATTAATTATTTTGTACGGAACTTTATGTGACCAATTTATTATTCTGCCAAGAACCCAATCCAGAATTTTCTTTTAAATTCACAAGGTTACACCTGCCCCCTTTAAAAATGAAGTGGGGCGTTGAACTTTTGATACACAACCATTGTGATACTTAAGTAGGTGTTTTTCTGTTTTCACCAGTTGAGATCTTTTTCTTCCCTTAGATTCTAAGGAGGCTTCCGAATCATTGAAGACAAAGCGAGTCTCTGTTCCGACGAGGAGGGTTCTCGAGGGGCAACAAATGAAGAAGGATAGCAAACGAAAGCCAAAGAAAGACTCCTCATATGTCTCTAAGGTAATTCCTCCCATTCCTGCTTTTAGCTTTCACTAAGCAAATGGGTCCTCAAAAGCTTTCTTCATTCAAAGCAAATACGGTCTGCTCTAGAAGGAATGAAAAATCTCAAATGACTTGGAGCTATTCATATTTTATTGATGAACCCCTCAGTGACAGGATGGAATCGGATTTTCCCAAAATTTGATTTCAGTAAGCTAGCATAAGTATCTTAGCTACTTAGATTTTGTGTTTAGATTATTTTCTTACTGCTTCCTTAACATTACCTCTGAATAGACATGAAAAAATGACCCTCCCAGACATGTACCTGATGCTACACTTCAGCTCATTCTTTAATTTTGAATTATCTCACTTTTACAGGAAAAAAGAAAGAAAATTGTTGCTAAAACGGATTCGCTTATGGCCACCAAAATGGAGGAACAGAGGAAAAGGAAAGAGGAATCTTCAACATCATCATCAGGGTCAGGCTCTGATGATGAGCTTATGACCAGGAAAAAGTTTAAGGAAGAGTTGCAAAAAGTAATGATTATGAATGATAGTTTGAAGAGAGAGAATAAAAGGCTGACTGAGAGAAACATCGGACTGGAAACCAGAAATGAAGAATTAGAAGCTGCGAACCTTCGGTGGCAAGATAAATTCTTCATCACACCATCAGAGGCAGAACTTCCGTCTAAGCTTCCATGCCCAATAAAAATTAATCTTGTGTCCAAAGATTTGTTTTCAGATAAGACGGTTAGTATGAGAAAAAGTTTTCAACTGCATGTCATTTTAAAAACTGCTCTCTCTCTCGATTTTTCTTTCTTTCCACTCCCTTCAGTTTTCCTTTCATATGAAAGAAGTCTTGGTTGTAAAAAAGTGGGAACAGAAGGAGAGCAGTTTCACGTAAATCAGGTTTCAAGTTGAGTTTTGATCGGATTCATCTTCCTCTAATTTACAAAGCTCTGATTTATTTAAGTTTATTGTTAAAATCAGTCTCATTTAGGCAAATTTTATTGTATGCGCAGCCATTGGTAGAGTAATTTGAGGGAATAGCAACAGACAAATACTATAAAATCAGTGTGCCTAGGAGCCATTTCTTTTCATAGAGCAATGATTTTTCATCATTCTCAGACTTAAAATGCTTTCTAACGAAATTAAGAATTCATGTTCAGTATACATCTTATCAAGATGGTTTTTTTCCAGAGAGAAAAAAAATTCAATAGCCTAATTATGTAACTTTTAAACTATGGTACTGGCCTAATTTTAATAAAAGGTTTTCTTTTCTTTTTCTATAGGTTGATAAAAAGAAAGAAATGACTAAGCCGCCAGCAACACAAAAAAGAGCAAGGTGTACACCACAAAAATCACCTGTGAAAGTGTGTACAAGTCCAAGAAATGTCATCTGGTCAGTTAACACCAGCCCCATCAGCACTGTGCATCCTATTCATAGTACACCAGTAAAGCATGTGTCTCAACCCTCATGCGTAGAAACTGCTGCCAAGGTAAAAGTAGTTTTTTGTTGAATTATACATATAGTAGTTTTGATACATATATGAAGGTGATTCGATGGACCCCATAAGTATTTTGTGTCAGAAAGACATTGAATCTATCGCATTCTTCATTGGTTTCATTTTTTCAGCTACTCTCATTTTTCTCAAAATTTGAGTTTGCATTTCGGTTGTCGCCAAAATTAAATAACTCACTCATCACATTTGACGAAGAAATTCAGCGTAATTAAAGCAGGAATTTTTTTAGAGGAAAAATATCGCATCAGAGTGCAGTTTTGATATTAGTATCGAATGCAATATCTCTCCTCTCAGAAAACCCTGGCTTTATTACATTGAATTTGTTTGTAAAATTTGGTGAGAGAATTTTTTAGTCTCTTGTCAACAGATGAAAAGAGATGCAATCTCCAAATGCGAGAAAAATGACAAGTAGCTGAAAAAATGGAACTAGGTAATCACTGTGCTAAATTGGACGTTGCTCTGACACAAAATATGGCGTTGATGGAATTACGTGAAACTTAAAACCTACCACATTTAAGTTATGGTTGTTTATTCTCATTTCTGTTGAAATATTTTTTTTTATTTTATTTATTTTTATTTTTTTTTCTCCCACACCTTTTAGTCACCAAAAACTAATTTCCTTTGGACATTTTTTCTCAGGCAAATGTTTTGAAACAATCTGAAGGAGAAGGAAGGATAGAAAAAGAAGAAGAACCAAAAGTAGCAGGAAAGGAACGGAAAGAAGAACCGAAAGTAGCAGGAAAGAAACTGAAAGAAGAACAGAAAGAAGTAGGAGAGGAGCAGAGAGAGGAAGAGAAAGAAGCAGGAGAGGAACAGGAAGAAGAAGAGGTACATCAGCTATTCAGTATTACTCAGAATGCATTATTCCATACTGACACACTACAGATGATGTTGAGTGAATGCTGAGCATTAACAAAATAAAAGTAAAAAATTAATTTTAAGAAAAAAGAATTGCATCAAAAATCAAATTCTTACAAAAAAGAGAAAGAAAAAAAAAGTTAGCCTTTGGCCAAACAATGATTTTTGCCTTTATTCAATTGAGCCCTTTTTAATAACGCATGCCTGTCAGCAGAACATGCAGCCCTACATAATTTTGTTTTTATCATTTTTAGTGCCAACATGTTAATAAAGTTAATTTTCCTAAGGTTATTAAGCTTCTCATTGGGTTTTAAAATGGTTTTTTCACATTTTCATTGAGTTCTCTGAAATTGCAGTGCATTTTATGTTGCATTTTTGGTCCTTCTTTTCTTTTGCAGGTAATGATTTAAATTTATAAATATTTAATGCATCTGCACTACTTTTTTTCTTTTTCTTATTTAACCTCAGAAGAGGGAGCACTTCCTGGTAGAAGCATAGGCCACTGTGCAGAGTCACTACACAATTATCTGATTATAAATTCGTTAAACTTTAATATAGAATCAGCCGGAAAAGAAATTAAAACTGAGGCATTGATGAATTAAAAACTAAGAAACTGCTAGAAGCAATTAATCGATGTTAAGACATGACCTGATAATGATTGACCTATTTATAACTACGGACTTCTCCTTTGGTTTACTAAATTGGTTCTATATAATATCATCCTTTTTATTGTAGGTTGAAGAAATTGATTATACTCTGACGCCAAGAAAGGAGAAAATGTCTTATAATGGAGTCAGGAAAGGCAAAAAAGGTGATTCGCTTTTCGCAAAAAATCTCGCTACCGCCATTTTTGGTGTGGATACCCTTGTAAGAAGCAGCGTCACTGGCCAACCGGCCAAAGGTGGCAAGAGAAAGAATACCACTGATAATACGGCAAGACCTGCCCTCTCCAAAGCAGGTCTCAAGATCTTGGAAGGTGAGAATTTCTGTCTCATTTTTATTTTAATTGATAGAGAAATAGTAATATAGAATATTCGCAAACAACATTCAGTATTAATTAATAGGTTTCAAGTTAACAGTCAAAAATTTTCCACTCATATCTGCTAATTATTTTATTTCTTTTCACCCTTTGCTTGTTAGTCAGATATTGATGGATAAGTGGAAAACCAGGTATCTCGGTATCCGGGTTTCAAAATTTCTGGCTCTTTTTTATTTTTGCGGAGGGGAACTGCACCTTATAATTTGAGATTTACAGACTCAGACCAGAATATTCTACTAAGAAAGAAAAACGTATGAAAGAAGTTTTTAAGAAACAAAGACTACTACTCTTCCAAATGAAAAATAGAGAATGACAGGAAGTCTGCAACAAGGCAAACGAAGATACATGGTTTCGCACTTAGGTGTTTAAAATATTGCAATGTAAGCAGATACCTCACTTTTTGCTGTTTTTTGCCCAAATTTTGCCAGTTGGAAAATAAAAGATATAAACGAATGTAAAAGTTACTGAGCCTCTTGGTCTTTGAAATATGAAGTTCATATTTCATAAACAATTGGATCTATAACAAACTTTTCCGTGGAGAAAAGTATGATTCAAATTGAATTCAACAGTAGAGTAGATAAGTGTTCTGGATAGGAAACAACATCTCATATGCCTCTTAAACAAAACTAAATGCTTCGTCTTTTCTTTGTTGCAGATGCTTTTGAAAGAAGGATTAAAAAGGAAACCCCAGGCACAGGGGATGATGAATTGAAGGAAAGAAAAAAAGTAATCAAAGGAGCGATAGCTGACCGGATTAAATATCTCCGAGCTGGTGACAGCTAAGTGCACCATAACTTAATTCATTTATTTTTTTGTCATTTACCATTCATTTATTTTATTTAATTCATTTATTTGTAAGTTTAATTTTTGTTGAAGACTGAAAAGTATATAAAAGTATAAAAGTACTGAAAAGTAAAAGTATATTTTTTGTTGAAGACTGAAAAATCAATAAATATTGATTTTTGACTGAACGAATGAATTCTTTTGAGTAATCATCATTTTCATTTTCTCTTACATCTTTATTCTGGAAATTATTTAATTTCCATGAACAATTTGGATGGTACTGGAAATTACTTACTTTCCATGAACAATTTGGATGGTACTGAAACCATCTCGTGAAAATTTATCATGGAAATGGTTTCGTTCCCATGAAAAATTGTCACGGAAATAATTTTGTTTCCGTGAAAAATTTTCATGGAAATGATTTCGTTTCCATGAAAAATTTTCATGGAAATCAGCCACATGGAAATCAGCCACACGGAAATCAGCCACATGGAAATATTTCCCGTTCCATTTTTCCGTGTCATTTTTTCATGGAAATCAACTTCATGGAAATCATCCACACGGAACATTTTTAGCAGGGTTGCCCGATGTCTCCTATTTTAATCCTCCGACGAGTAATTTCTGGACAAATTAAATGA